ATCTAAAAGTACTGTGCTCTCTTTCTGCGTTCCTGAGAAATCTCCCGAGTTTGATTCCATGTGAGTTTCTGTGTGCATACCATTTCCAAGACATTGCGTATATGGATTATTAGTAAACCTAGTATTTTACTCTCGCCATTGAATCGTCTAGGAATATAGTAATTTCCTATCTATCCTCTCTCTTACCATTAACTAAACCTAGACCTTAAAAAAAACAAATGGTCATAAATTTTAAAATTCTTCCGTGGTATTCAGTTACTTTTTGGCTATTTTTGTCATTTCTTTACATATATATCTCCAATGGGAAAAATAATTCGTGTCTGTGACTAAACAAAAAATTATGGGATCCGTTGTACAAACACATAAGTAGTTCAAACTAAGCTAGAAATGCCGATGATTCCATATATTCGTTAAAAAAATGAATAAATCTTACATGTTTCTCTGAATTTACCTCTTTCATACTCCCTCTCACATACATACATGGTCTTATACATATATACATACTCATACTATCTTCCAAACCTCTCTCCCTGTCATGCTACTACACATTGTAATGTGTACTATATTGTATCCCAATACCAACCAATTTTTAAATATGAGGTATTCGCTAATTTCTTTACTTCATTTCAGTTTTTACCGCCAGTTTTAAATAACAATGATGGTAATAAAACCCAGTTACATGCTTTATGAGGCAAGTCGATACAAAAGTAATACAGAAAATGCAATATATACAAGAAATAATACAAATTTACATTTGTTATGAACATGGAACTAATTTAAATAAGTTGTTCAATCTTTTGTCGATGTGTAATGAACGATTTCCCAGTGATCAAAGACACACACATATTCATCTGTAACAACAGCTAAGTTTGGATAAAGTCAAGAAGCTTTTTACCAGGAAAACACAAGGGAAAATATGTACAGTTAATGTGAATAGGAAATGGCAAATAATTATCCAAATTTAATTCTTTTAAGGCAAATAATATACAGAATTTAAAATTGCAATCGACTGCCAGTGTTTAATTGATGACGTGAATTTTAATGTACTTCCATGATAATTAAACACGAAACTGAGACGTGTTAATGAGATTTTAGAATAAACTAAAAGATCAGTAGGTTGAACAAATTTTTTTACACAAAATGTAGTTTGAAACAATTAGTCCGTTTGATAAATTTCGATAGCGTAATAATAAGAAGACGAAGATTATCAGAACTATGTGATGATATATTAGCCCAATACATTTCGAACAATCTGATCACACACAATATACTTGTTAAGAACATTTGTCAACTAGACTAGAAATAGAGGGTAAGAGGAAACAAAGATAATAAAGAAAACAGTATGAAAAACAACTTGAAACCTCATCACTCTGGATAATAAGCTTATATTACCAGGGTAGGTTGAAGGTGAGAACAAACTGTTTTTGAATATATGAAGGAAGTTTGAATTTTCGTATAGCCAAGGTTTCAATAAATCTTAGTATGTGCCCTTGTACACTTTTGTACAACACCACAAAAGCCGTGTTAAGATCAGTCATATGATCTGTTTCAACTGGGTTTGGCAACAGAGGATGATGAATGTTTATGATCTTCTATTCCTATTGGGTCATTTGATTTTATTTGTTCAGATATCCTAATATGGAGATCATGGTTACTCTTCTCTTTGTATATGTGACCACACACATACACATATGAATTGATAAACACAGTGAGGTGTGACGTAATCGTCTTCATATCTTTTAGGTTTTTGGTGAAGCAGGGCTTGTTTTTACTTTGTTAATGACCTTTACTGCATAGCACAACAAGGGCGGCCTGCTTGAGCATCTGGGCTATCTGTTCCTGCCATCCAGATATTTCAACAAGTTATCTATTTTTGTTTGTTTTAATATATCATTATGTTTATTAATCGCATAACCTATTCTGCTGCGTTTCTGAAAAGTGTACAACCTTTCGTTGTCAGAGTTACTTTAAACTCAATAAGAGACAATGTGGTTGCTGGCAATATACAGCGAAAAGAATGCACATTATTCAGATGTTCATTTACTGAACTGCTAACATCTAACTGGTGATCACTCAACATTTATCGCCAGGACCGACCAAGAAGAAAGAAACGGAAACTTGTTGAAATACTTTACGCTGAGAATTCTATATTGTACCAAAAATATAATATTGAATAAAGCTAATAATAATAATAATAATAATAATAATAATAATAATAATAATAATAATAATAATAATAATAATAATAAATGATTTAAGCCTATAAAGAGGAATAATATATATTTGTAAAATCTCAGCGAAAGAATTTGAAGTAATTCCAACATTTCGCCTGGCAATCTGGTCCAAGCTTTTTCAAAGAAAATATAATTTTGTTGTTTGATTATATTTTCCTTGAAAAAGCTTGGACCAGATTGCCAGGCGAAATGTTGGAATTACTTCAAATTCTTTCGCTGAGATTTTACAAATATATATTATTCCTCTTTAATGACTCACATTAACATCATATTGTGAAACTATTCGTTCAAATTTAGACGAAAGTTCTTATTTAGATTTAAGCCTTTGTTTCAATAAAATACATTTTAATCACCTCTAAACGGTGAGGTGATATAGACAAGATTTTTGTGCCAAGGCTATAGTAGGTCTCACTGTACTATGGGCTTTCCATCTATTTATGCATTTAAGAGCATACCCATTTTCTATTAATGCTTGACTTGGCAACCTAACATCATCATCAATGGCGTCATTTTTACAAATACGATCAAGTCTGCTAAATAGACACCTTAACAAACCTCGTATGTACTGCACTGGGCAGTAACTATAGTAACTAAGGTATTGGCCTGTCCAAGTTGGTTTTCTAAAAATGGATCATTTGACTGAATTGTCTTCTCGTCTACTTAGAAGTACATATAAGAAAGGAAGTTAGTCGTTCTTCTCCTCTGGTGTGGTCCTGAAGTGTTAAGTTTATTCAATAAACAATTCATATCTTCCTATCTTTCATAGATAACTAAGATATCATTAACATATCTCATATAAAGAGACATGTTTTCGATGAGGTCTTCAGCTAGATTTGCAACATGTGTCATGAAAACATCTGCTAATAATGATCCTAATGGACTACCCATAGTAACCCCATCTGTCTGACAAAAGTACTCACCTTCAAATGTGAACTGGACTTTGTTAATACATAAAAGTAGTAAATCTTTAAGAATTTTTAAAGGAACTGGTAATTTAAGGTTGTCCAAAGACATGTAGTTACATAGTATATCAATAGTCTTTTTCTAAAGTACATTTGTGAACAAGGAGTTCACGTCAATTGAACATATTGTATTTCTCTTGATATCAATATCACCTAAATGATCGACTAGTTCAAAAGAATCCTTCAGAGAATAATTGAACTTGAGAATACATGAACGTCTTCAGATAGGATCCAGCAATTTTATTAGCCATTTAGCTAGGTTATGTGTAGATGACGATTGGTTTCTATTTCGTTGATGATTCCAATTCACCTTTACTGGGAATATATCTTAGCAAAAAGAATTGCATCAGAAGGGGTTTTGTGGATATTATAGTAATTTTAATATTTGAGATCATAAGTCAATTGGAGCTAGACCATCATGGAATTAGTTGAAATTAGACATTAACACCGTTGGATGCTGGCTCAGTGGTCTAGAGGTTAAGCACTCACGCGCGAAGCTGATAGGTCCTGGGTTCGAATCTCGCAAGGCGGGATCGTGGATGAGCACTGCCGAGGAGTCCCGCAATAGGACAAAAAGGCCGTTCAGTGCTTCCAGGTTTTCCACGGTGGTCTAACTTCAATTGACTCATGATCTCATATATTAAAAAAGAATTGTAATTCCCTGCCGTTAATATAATCGATTGCATTTGGTCAGTCTCCTTTGAGGTATGCACTTATTGAATGAACACTTTGACATTGTTGTTATAGATACACATTTTTGAAATATTTAGATTGTTAGTAAGGGCCTTTGAGTTATGTCTAAAAATTCCCAAATTATGGTCAGTATTCCTTATTCTTCTCATCTATTATCAACCCTAAATGTGTTAACAGTTCAGTATTAGTAAGTTTTACCTCACTTTTAATAAGATGCAGGCTATCTGCCACAAAGGCTCATTAGCTACTGAATATAATCTCACTATTTCATTAGTAATGCATGTCTTTACTGTAGATCGTAATTTAACAGCAAACATTTTTTAAATTCTAGTAAATGAAAATTAATGTTAAAATTCCTGGTTAAATTGTCTCAATAATATCATGACCATATGTTTACTGACATTGAATATAACTATGAGAGATATTATCATTGTATATCTGAGTATTACTGTGAGATGATAGTAAAATGTTTACCGAATAGTACTCCAATCGAACATGCTTTTTTAAATACACTACAATTTATTTGATAAGCGAAAGTAGAGTTTTAAATACATATATTTTTTGATAGCTGGTAAGACTCCGTTATGAGCTGGACTTTCCCCGTTAATCATAATCATCATAATTGAGCATAACCTACCTGATTCAGTGATTGAACTCATTGCTGATTGGCCGAATGTGTCCAGACATTTCATGAGACTGTGTCTATATGCCATTTGAAATCCAAACGGTAAGATGATAAACAACCCACGCTATTTCATAAAGCCTGCATATTCTTTTTTAGATCCGAAGGATAGATGCACTTGTACCTATGATTCCTATACATTATCCGGTTTGCCAGTTACAAACTCCTGTTTATTTCTCAGTATTCTCTCACATAGTATGTTAGGTAAAAGTGTAGTGAGCGGTCAAGGAACACAACAGTTACCATCACTCATATAGCTATCTCCTTTGTTTGGAACCCTTCAGTGACAGGTGATAATATTTAGAACACATTGTAAAGAGAATAAAGTTTTAGATTATTTAATTGTAATAATGTATTGTGCAAAACCTTCATTAACTAACCAAATGTAATGTTATGATTTTTATTCAACATTTTTTGTATTCACTATAGAGATATATTATCGATCGGGGTTGGATGTTTAAGCTCTGGTCTTTGGCTCCTCTCTGTCACATTATTCACTTTTCTTCATGCTCATGTTTTTATTTATGAAATACCTGATGATAATATCAATGAACACCAAGATGTGGTTACTAGGAGAAAAGAGGTAAGATTATATTATAATATTATACCGAGAATATTAAACAAATGCATCCAAAATGCAGAGAAAGGCCCTGATTCTTTAATGTGCATTTTCTTGAGTAGATTATCCAACTTTTTAAAAGCACATTCATGATTATATTTTCAATATAACTCTGAAATAAAAGACGAAGTGGCTTGACATTAAAGCTAAATATAGACGTTTAAATAGAATACTAAATTTCTTACCGATGTGAACATTTAGTCAATATGTGGTGCTCAAATAAGATGGTCCCGTTAAGTATGTACAATAATAAAATAAAGTTACTTCAGTCATAATTTTTATATAATTCTTCCCTATAAATCCAAACTATTATTCCAACACTGTCGTTTATTGATGCATGATTTTACAATAGAAAGAAGAGCTTATGAAAGAGTTAACCAATTTATTTATCTTATGAGCCTCAAATTCATCTTCATATCGTGAATAACAGAGTTTATGTGATACAGACAAAATATTTGACTGTATAACTGTTTAATAGTTGCTATCTTTTAATGAATCTCTAGATAATGTCAGTTCTTGTTGAAAATCCATCGAATACTTTTTAATTTCAATGTGAATGACCTTTCTTAAACGTTAACTCTAAAACTAAAATTTGATTTTATAATAAATCCTATACGATCAATTAGACTTTTATCCAGAATGTTTCCAACGTTCAACTAGTGTATTGTGTTCAACAGCAAAATCTATTATTTTCCGTTACCTTAATAAGTGATTACTAAATAACAGAGTGTAATTTTCATTAAAGATTTCATCCGATATACTGGTCAGTTCTACATTAGACGACATGTTCATGCCAGACAGTTTCAGATAACTCAACATGCTTGAAATGAAATCTTTGATGAAAATTATCGTCTAATATCTATCAGTCATTTACTGAATAAATGAGGAAATGATTGAAAATACTCAGGAAACACTAGAAACATTAAGAATAACCTCAGGTGATCAATTAACATAAGAATAAGTCGTTTGATTATAACTTTGTTTAAATTTATTCACCTTTTTTTTAATTATCATAATCTATTCAATTGATGAATGAGAACAAACTTCTTTTTGTTTCTATTTATTAAACTGTAATTTACTTCTTTTCAATTAAAAATATTTCTGATTCGTATTCCCTCTCTTTTTTTTTCTACAAATTTTTCATCTAACCGAAAAACATATTTGTATCTTTAAAACATGAAATTAATACAAAATAATTCTATTTATTGATTTATCCTTTTAAATGGACAATAAAATTAACTGTTCTAAGTAAACTATAAACACCGACTTTTCTCTTGCATACATACTCGTTTCCATCGCTTGAATTTTACTGAATATATATTGATTTATCTATTAAAGTTACTATAAACACTGTTTGGTTATAATATGTTAATCAGGGAAATTTTGACAATAAATTTATTTAGGTATTTAACGATACTACTATTGTTGTCGCTCAAAGAAATGTCACACATCATAGACTGATAATAAATGACAGTCTGCTTGAATATCTGGGCTACCTGTTTCTGACATCTGATTATTTCAACAAGTTATCTATTTTTTTCGTTTGTTTTAACTTATCATTATGTCCATTAATTGCATAACCTATTCAGGCACTTTTATGAAAAGCCTACGACCTTTCGCTGCACAGGTTACAAAAAAGTACTATAAAAGACATCGTGGTGGTTGGCAATATGCGTTAAGGAGAATGAATATTAATCGTATGTCCATTCCCGAGCTGCTAAATTCTAACTGCCGATCACTAATCAACAAAATGGACTATCTGCAATTCCTACTAAGTCAAAATATGTGTCGTAATTGTGGTGTCATCACAATTCAAGAATCTTGGTTAAATGATTTACAGGATGACTGCCTAGTATCACTACGTGACTTCAAAATTTATCGTCAGGATCGATCAAACAATAAAAAGAGGTGTGGTGGCGATGTAGCTACGTTTGTAAACGTAAACTGGTGTCGATCTTCGTTTATGTGTTTTAAGTTTTCAAATGACTTTATCGACTGTCTAACTCTAAGATGTCGTCCAAAAAATCTGAATAAATACAAATATGTTTATGTTATCAATATCTATGTGACTCCAGATTGCACATCATCTGCACTATCTGTTTTCGCTGATGAATTCACTGAGTTCGCTGTTACTGACTTCAGTGTTTCACTTTAAGTTGTATGTGGTGATTTCAATTCATGTGACTGTAGCTTCCTTACGTCACTAGGTCACCAAAACGTAGTAGATTTTCCTACTCGTTTGGATGCTCATTTAGACTTCGTTTTCATTAATGATGTGGATATATATGCGACTCGTAAACGTGCCCCATTGTCTAGTTCGGATCACTGTGTAATTCGTGTTCTACCTAAAGTATATGGAAAGCATGGGAAGAGTACACTCTTACATCAGACCAAGAAAGTCAAATATAGGAATTACTCAGAAGAAAATATCCGAAATCTGAAAAACATGTTTCATACGACAAACTGGGAATTATTTACAGATGACTCACTGGAAAACACTACTGATGTTATCACTTGTTACCTTAAATTCTGTTCTGATATTTGTTGTCCCACTGAAACCATTTTTGTAAGTTTTGATCGACTTACATCTACACAACTAAAACGACTACGGAGGATGAAAGAAAGAATGTACAAGGAGAAGAACTCTAATGAAGTTCGTAAGCTAAATGGTCTGATAAACCTAGAGATTAGACGTCTCAACTGTATGTTTACTCAAAAACTCTTGTCTTGCAAAAGCTCTCCAAGTATGTGGAAACTCTTTAAAGAACTTACAGGTGACAGACAGTTTAGAAACGATAACCAGCTGAATGTTTGTGACTTAAATAAGTCTTTTGTACGTCAGTCATCTATCCACGGGTTTAAATAATAGCTGTGTTCCTACTTCCACTGAAACTGATGTACGAAGATGTCTCCAGACGCTTAATTCATCTCGATGTTTGGGACCTGATGGTATCTCAAACCTCTTTTTTTTAATGTGCTGACGTCCTATGTTATCCATTCACGACTATCTTTAACAGATCTTTCTCATCTAATCTCATACCGAAAATGTGGAGAAAGATGAAGATAATCCCTGTACCCAAGAAAGCATCTGGTGATAAGAATGTAAAATTTAGACCTATTGCAATAACTTCACCCTTCCTCAAAACAATGGAAAAATTATTAATACTTCCACTTCAGCCTGCGATAAAAGAGCATATTGATCCATATCAGTCTGCTTACAGACGCAAAAGAAGCACTTTAGATGCTGTTGCTGTTCTGCATCACAACATAGTGTTCAACTTATAAAAGGGTAAGAAGTATGCTCGATGTGCTTTTCTGGAATATACTTCAGCTTTTGATTCTATACCAAGACAACGTTTAATTAACAAGTTAATCAGCATCAGCACTGACAGCTGGATAACCAACTGGCTATGTTCCTACCTCTCTGGAAGGGAACAGTACACTGAAGGTGTACCACAAGGAGCTGTTTTTTCACCTCCTCTTTACTCTTTTTTTCTGCATGATCTGCCATCTTCCACAGAAAACACTTTTTTGAAATATGCGAATGATCTCACTGTATGTATGCCTATCTCTTCCTCTTTACATCCCATAGAAATGAATGAGTTTTTGTCTGGTATTGATTGTTGGTCTGTTGGTAATGGTCTTATACTTAATCCGTCTAAATGTCAAGCTGTTAACTTTAGCATGAGACATGAACGGAATCTAAACACCATTTTGAGATCCCATAATGCTTGTGCTATTGGAGACTCTTTGATAAACACAGTGTCGAAGGCCAATTATCTTGGTGTTACCTTTACCTCTGATCTGTTTTGGTCTTCCCACGTTTTATTGTTGTCAAAGAAGGTTTTCCGTTTGACTTACTACATAAAGAGATTGCATGCTCTTAGGATTACTCGTCATTTACCATTACAATTTGTCAATTCTTCCATATTACCCATTATTCTTTACTGTTCTCCATTATTCTTTCCCGGGCTTTTGAGAAAAGACTGCTGTATTGTGGAGAGTGCTGAAGGCAGTTAGCAAGATGTGTGGTGAATCTTTCGAGGTCATAATTAATATGATTGTGGATAGACATCTAAAATCATGCAAACTCCTGACAGGTGTTATTTTATCAGATACTAGCCATCCCCTTCACTCTTATCTTTCTCCTTGTATATCTTCTGGTAGAACGAGACGTAATTACATCAAAATTCATGCACGCAAGCAAAAGTATCAAAGTTATATAATACCTTACCTAGTAAATATACTCTGTGACGAACAGGCTGTTAGAGTTAACCTAGTCAATAACTTGCATTCTTAACATGTCCTTAATTTTAAAAGTTGTACAGTTTTTCGGTTGTTTTTTTTTAAAAAACGGTTTTCATTTTTTTTGTATTTGTTACTGTTTTTTGTTGTTGTTGCGTAAGTAACTTGTTGAAATAACTTGTTCTGAGAATTCTACATTGTACCAAAATATAATATTGAATAAAGCCGTTAATAATAATAATAATAATAATAATACATGAACAGTGTTAGAAGATATCGTGAATGCTGAACAAATATAACTTGTCAGCAGTTATTAAATAACACTCACCTTGCCAGATATTGCAAATCTATCCCTTGATCATTCAAATCTTCAGGTATACACATTAAAAATGAGCATTCAGTGCTCCGCGTCATAGAATTCAGGTCATGACGGCATTGATTGACGGGCTGAGCCCTGTTGACTACTAGTTTGTACATACATTCTATTGGGTTGTAGAGATTTTTTAATTTCATTGAAATCACGAATTGATCTAAGTTAGACCACTATTGAAAACCTACAAGCACTGAACGGCCGTTTCTTCCTAATACGGGACTCCTCCGAATCGCCCATCCATGACCCGACATTCGGGGCTCGAACGCGGAACCTATGTCTTGCCTTGGATCCCAAATTTCAAAAACGTTTCGTACTTTTTATTCCGTGAATTCATTCACGCTTCTTAAATCATATTATGTCTAATCTATTCCATAACTGTTGATAATGTTACTACTTCTACTACTCTGCCATGATTTGTTTTAATAATATTTTTTTCTGTGTTGACACTGTGTGGCATATATGTGCCGGGTTCTACGCTGCTTGTGACTGACTGCTTTCAGTCAACTCATTATGTTACGAGATTATCAATCATTCAGTGTTATTAGTAATAACTATGTTCATTCATGACACTTGAATGAACTCGAGCAGTTAAATCTAATTTACTATAAGTGAAACTGATTTGTCTAACTGAAAGATACAATTTCCGAGGTGGAAAGCCATTGAAATTGTGAAGTCTACAATTATTATTTTGTACTTAATTGAATAAGTTTTCAAATAATTTATTGTTTTTCTATTGTTTGAGGTAATCAACCCCGGGTAGCTCATTAGTACTCCCAGGCTATGAAACTGAGTGACGCAGTTCCGAATCTTAAGGGGAGCATCTATCATTTGAATATTGTAGGTGCACGTAACCGACGAGTGCCAACTAGCTCGAAAACTGAGTCAATTAAGGTTTCTTGTCGACTACCCCCAGCCACCCTACATTTCAACGCAATCCATGTTATATCAACTAGCTTAGACTAATGACCAGATTACAACTTAATCGATAGAATTAGATATGCAATAAAAAGGATCTGATATAAATTACATTGGTCACTACCTAGCGATCAATCAATATAACACATTGTAAAGTTTGATCTCATACTTGCTATATATGATATTATTTTATGACTATTAAGTAATTAGATTATTTATATTTACATTCATTTTATCATAAGCTCTCATTTGACCCATAAACTACTACTGTGGTGTGTGATACTGATGTCGGCAGAAGTGTCTGGAGGCAGAAGGTTGAGAAAATTGAAGAAAAGAGAATGAAAACAGAGAGCGATTGGTGTGGAAACGAAGGAACAACAAAGTCGGAGGCAATTAACTGACATTTTTCAAATGAAGTATTACTGTATATTTTCCAGATTTTACCATGATATTCTGTAATGTTGTATTAGAATGCACTTGGTTGCCTTCGCCTGTGTTCTCGTTCACTACACTACCATGCAATTTACTGTTCTTAGTCTATTGCCAGGTTATTATTCAGTCTTATCTACTTACAGCCACTTCTGTTGTGTTTATTTACAACTGTTATTTCGCATTTTATGGTGTGATGCCGTCTGATTTGCTTTCACATAAACTTCGTATGTCTGAAATATATTCCTTATATAGAGAGTGACGATATTGTGTTCTGGGCTCGACGGGCAGAACAAGGCTAGAGGATGTTATACCGAGGACCAATAATAGATTAGAGTTGACTCAGGGCTACTGGTGCTGGTTGGTGTGTCATTAGTTAACCAAAGGATGAGATCATATAAATCAATATTCTGATTGACGTTTTTGTCACGTGATATTTGACAGGTCGTAACAGTACTCTCGTACAAAAAGGTAAATGTGAAACTAGTAGCTGATGATTTACTTTCAGATTTCGATTGTCAGGCAACAATGGTCATTATTTATAAACTTGACGAATTTATTTATTTATCAGTGACTAAATTTAGAAATAATTTTCAGCGTTCTGCTTATAGAGTCATGACTGGCAGCATTAAAATTAATGTCTACAGTTGAAAATATGAATTTTTGTTCGAATTTCAACTCAGTGGTCTAAAATCAATTCATTTTTGTATTGGTTGTTTGAATCTTCCCGATGACGTTCGGGATTAATAGCCATTCACTTGTGCAACAGGTATGAGATTTCATTCAATTTGAACTCAGTACCTAAGTGGATAACGTAATGGTGTTTGAAACGAATGATACTGATTTCGAGTTGCGGAGTGAACACCAACTTTTGGATGCAGGTACATCCTTCTGATGAGTCTCAAATTAGAAGAAACGTTTATCTTAGATTCCGATCCCAGCCACATCCAATCTATCCTGTAGCAGACATCAATAAGCTAATAATTCACTGATTACCTAATCTTACAAGTGAGCTGATTAGTAAACACTGACTTTAACGTGACGGGATAATATTTAAGAACTTAACAACCCCTAAACGTCTTTTCATTGTAAGTCATACTAGCGACCCCTATAACAGTGATAACGAGGATAAAAGTCGATTTTTAGAATTCTGACTACATATGATAAGTAGAAATCATTATGTATTCAATTAATACAACTACGAGTAGAACTAATCAATATATTTCTAAATGAATCGAAATCTGAACACTGTATACAAGTAAATATTACAAAATCAAATGCAATTCAGAAAGAATGGGTTACAGATTTTAAAAAATCTTAGTTCATTCAGCAACGACACAGCGTTTGTAAGGAACTACACAACGAAATCGATGGAGAGCCTTGAAGTCATTGTTAATTTAAATTTAGCCAGGGCACTGTAGTCAGAATTTCAAGAAAATTCCTCAGTTTCACTCCCGAAATGTTTTTTTGTGGAATCTGAACATTCAGTCGAATTTACAATTTGTTCAGTTAATCAGTCCTACTCCGACAAGCTCATAGGAATTAAGCACATTCTCATCTACAGAACAAAAAAGACTTGTCTGTTCATATCGCCACGAATCAATTCATGTGACAAATTGTTCAGCCTGAAGAGATGAATGGAAGTGAAGGCACAAATATGCAATCTCTTGTGAATTAGTAAATGATGGAGAATTGTCTTTCAACCTGTTGATGAGGGAAAAACACGATTTTCAACAAAACTGAACGATATGTGGATCAAGTTGAAAGTATCACCGTCTCACCTATGTTGCCACAGAAATATCTGACATCGTTTCTTAGGAAGAGGTGATATGACAGTAAAACAATTAAGCCTGATAATCAGTCACTAGTTTTATTAGAGAATGAATGATCTATAGTTGTCGTAATTACAAGTATGTTTAATATATTGTTTGTTGTAAGCACGTTACTTTGGCACAAAAAAGTATTTTTTGTTGGACAGTCATTTTGTCTTCTGATACCTTTCCACTTGAGGGTTCACATCAATAATTCTGTCTCATGAGCAGCGATTACTCGGTTATGTTGTGTCATCGCATTTCATTCATTCATCAATATCTGACTTGTTATTCACTTTAACAACACAAATTTCACTCACCAACGATCAGAAAATCTTAATTCATTGTTGTTTATTTCAGCGAAATTCCATTTAACCTTTCTTTCTGTTTCCTATCATTGAAATTATTTGTTCGACAATTTCGGTCAATCTAAATTATTTCTGAACACGATAAGCACTGACAATATTTTAAGTGGACATATGCACTACGGCGATATCCAGATCTATGTGCGAACTAATGGATAATGGTCTTTTATCATATTTTCGTTTTAAAAATTACTCCAAAGAATATTGATTTCAATTTGTTTTTATTTTCCTCCATTGTGTTATATTTTATATTTTTTAGGATCAAACATTTAACACTGAAGATGAATTTGAATATAGAATAACAGAAAAAGTGATAATGGATCATTCATCTTGAAAATTAAAATTGACGAACTATTCTCTCCTATTCATTTTGGTTTGATTACCGACACACACACACTCGCACATTCAAATGATACATGCAATCTTGTAAATAATTATTATTTGATTTCATTTTTTTGCTTAATATTAAAATTAGCAAAAACGCGATTATGTACAAGAGTAAACAAATAACTCCAAATTACATTAAGATTATTGGCCACTATCATTTGTTCTCTAATGATTAATTTCGAAAGGTATTTCTGAAAGCGCTTGTGAGAAACTATGAATAAGGGAGTTGGAAAACGGTTGCGCATAATCAAGAATTGACTGAAGTCAGATATATGAACCAAGAGCTCCTAACTCAGTTGTCTAAATATTAAGCACTTGTTGCCCGACCTGAAGTTTATGTGTCCGATCGCTGGTGAGGTTCTGGACACTTATTGCTAATACGTCACATATAAAGACGGAACGGGTGTCCAGCGCGCCTCGATTTTCAGTTACCATATAATACAATACCAGCGGTAAAACATTTACATAAGTGAGTTTGTCCTGGGAGTCTTTCTATAAATGCCAAGGTGGTAAAGGCACCTTCTATTACATTATTCATAAAACAAACGACAGTAAGCACTATTTTGTCAACCGTCAGACAAAACAATGGAAATAACAATCCCGAGCCTGATTACGATAGTTGATTCTAGGAGTTCCAGCTAGAAGCGGTCATCAGTAGAGCTCAAGCATTGATGCCTATAATCTCTACATTATCGTTAACTATACTTTATGCTATTAATCTGGATCATGAACTTATTTCCTCCATAAAATCTAACTTAACTGCCTATCTAATACTTTCATTTGTTTTATAACTGTTTATACAAAATGCACTAGATAAATGGTGATTTATTTAAGTTTGCAGCTTTCCTCTCTTTCTCTCACGCGCACTAACTATAACCCAACCCATATATATATATATATATATATATATATATATATATATATATTTGCCAGCTGACTTACCTCAAAAGTATGGTCTAACATTCCATTTGTTTATAATCGTTTATTTTGATCTAGTGAGGTTGGGGATGAATAAAAGAAATCTGTTTACCTATTTGACTTTCATGTTATGTTTAATTATTACGTTATTTATATATTTAGTGAATATAACCGCTTCATATTTTTGTATATGTATGTGTACATATGCATGGAGCAAGTAAATATCAGTTTTAAACCTGGAACATCGAAAATCACACGGAGGTCAATAAATGTTAGAAATTTGCATAAATTATATCATCAAAGTTTACCCTAATATAAAACAACGAAAATGATGAGATGAATACAATAATTGCTAAAATTAGAAAAGTTAGTGTTGCTTTTTGCAAGAATAAAAAAAATGGAAGTTAGACAACATCACCATTGAATGCCATCCGGCTCGGTAGTCTAGAGGTCGAGCATCCGCACGAGAGACTTATAGGTCCTGGGTTCGAATCCCGCGAGCGGGTGCACTGCTTAGGAGTTCCATACTTGGACGAAACGGTCATCCAGTGCTTCCAGAATTTCCATAGTGGCTTAGCTTTAACTGACTCATGAATTCAACTATTAACTTACTAAAAAATTTCCACCAAACCCCCTTCTGATTAACGGAATCGAAATGACTAAAATTTCGGAAAATTTTTTGACACAATTGATTTTCCTTGCAAATTTAAACAAGTTGTAAGTAATATTACCAAGATTTGACTGACTTCATAACTTCACATAAATTGAACACTGAGTTGATTATCAATGATAAGATAATGATATAAGTATTTATAATATCCTGGTGTATAGAAAATTAACATTCCTGATGTTACACAACTTAGTTTAGGTTGTTTATTAAGAGAGCAAACAGATAACCGAATCAAATAAGCACAAGTTTAAATATTTAGTTCAATCAAATACATATCAAAATGAGTCTAATTATGTCAATATCATGTTATTTTTGGTTAAGATGATCCTGTGTGAAAGTAACATCATCGTGGAATATACAATATGAAAGTTTACAGTCGAAACTTATGTGTGTGTGTGTTAATGTTGTGATAAATCAATAGAATTAAATTTGTTTACTTTAATAAACGGTTTAAGCTAGATGAACACAGGGATTTAGCGTTTTATGAAACGCATCAGCTACTCACCTTTCTTTATAACTGGGAAAAACTTTCTGAATTATTTCATCATCTTTAATATCAACTCGGTGGTTATTGAAAGTGGCATGTATCGCTATTGCCAATTTGATTTGTAGATTTCACAGTTCTACAGGATTATTAAGTCTTTTATGTAGCTTAGGTATTTCTTGAAACGTGTCGAGATTTCACGAGAGGACTACAGTATAGAAAACGTCACAACAGACAAAATCTAATCTCTAGACGTAATTTTGTGTAGATGTAAAAGGACCTTCTTCGTTTTTTCAAAGAAAAGCATTTAGAAGAAACAATTAGCTCTTCACTAACTAACAGTCCATTAATTAATAGTTTCAAATAACGAAAGGAATCCCTTGAGTCATTGAGAAAGAGAGAAAAATAATTCAGAGAAGAGAATTTTCCTTCATCGATGATATTATTCACTAAAGTCCATGAAAAATAGAATATTGCATCAAGTAAAAGGTAAGGTTTTCAAGTATCAAAAATGTATTATTTAAATAACTAAATAAGTTACGAATGGAAGATATTTGTCGAATTGAAGAATATTTTGAGACTGAATAGATTGTCTGTAAATACCAAATATAGAAGAAAAGCTACATAGTGATCTAACGGTTAATGAAAAAAGCTACATAATGATTTGTAGACGAGGGACAATTATCCTATTTCACAGCTTTAAATCACAGACTCACGTTAACTAGACCATCATAGGAAACCTGGAAGAATTAGACGGCTGTCTGATCCCAGTACGGGACTTCTCAGAGGTGTGCATCCGCGAACCCATATCCATGGGCCGAGCTCTGGACTTCTGGTCTCGCTCGCGAACGGTTAGCCCTTAGACTACTGCTGGTATCCGATAGTGCTAATGTCTAGTTCTAATGAATTCAAAATATTGCGCAACCCTAATCCATTACGTGAAATGGATAACTGTCTCACTCATTTCATGAAGAACGGAATAATTGGATAGAGATGGATGGTGGCTAGCAGTAAATCCAATTTAGGACTCATCAGGTGGATTTACCTGCATCCCAAAGTTGATGTTCACTTTAGGATAAGTAGATTGTAGTGGATGGCACTATGTCAAACCCATACACATTATTCTGCCTTCTAGACAGACCAATCCATTCATTCTTCTCAAGCCACATTTTGACCTTGTCACGTACTCTCTTATTAATCCTGACTGTTTTTATATGATCATGTGTGTGTATACACAAGTTGGACAACAACGACTAACTACAGGAGAGCTCCTGTTATACTCCGGCCATGAAGAAGAAAATGCTACACATACACAAGGAGTTGCATTGATGCTGTCCAAACAAGCACAAAAGGCACTTATAGGATGGGAATCTCATGGACCAAGGATCGTCAAAGCCTCGTTCAAAACAAAGAAAGAGGGTATTTCAATGAACATCATCCAATGCTATGCGCCCACCAACGATTACAATGAAGACGCTAAAGATCAACTCTACAATAGGCTGCAGTCAATCATCGAGAAGTGCCCAACAAAGGACCTGACCATTCTGATGGGAGATTTCAATGCCAAGGTTGGAACGGACAACACTGGATATGAAGACATCATGGGACGACACGGACTAGGAGAAAGGAACGAAAATGGTGAGAGATTTGCAAAACTATGTGCCTTCAATAAGCTGGTCATAGGCGGCACCATATTCCCACATAAACGCATACACAAAACCACATGGACTTCACCGGATCACACCACGCAAAAATAAATTGACCATATATGCATCAACAAAACGTTCAGGAGGACTATAGAGGACGTGAGAACCAAGAGAGGAGCTGATATAGCATCAGATCATCACTTGCTGGTCGCCAAGACGAAATTGAAACTCAAGAAGCACTGGACAACGGGGCGGACAATATCACAAAAGTTCAATACGGCCTTTCTTCGGGATACTGACAAACTCAACAAATTCACGATAGTCCTCAGCAACGAGTTCCAGGCCTTTCATGATCTACTCATTGGAGAAGGAACTACTGTGGAGAGCAACTGGAAGGGGATAAAAGAGGCAATCGCTTCAACATGTCATGAGGTCCTGGGTCACAAGAAGCACCATCACAAGGGATGGATCACTGTTGATACACTGAATAAGATTCAAGAAAGGAGGAACAAGAAGGCAGCAATCAATACCAGTCGAACAAGAGCAGAAAAAGCCAAGGCACAAGCTGAATACACAGAAGTAAACAAACAAGTGAAGAGGAGCATCAGAACCGACAAACGTAAATATGTGGAAGATTTAGCAACGACGGCGGAAAAGGCTGCAAGAGAAGGAAACATGAGACAACTGTATGACACGACAAAGAAACTCTCTGGAAATCGCCGCAAACCAGAACGACCAGTGAAGAGCAAGGAAGGCGAGGTAATTACCAACATTGAAGAGCAACAAAACAGGTGGGTAGAACACTTCAAAGAACCCTTGAGTCGACCAGTTCCACTGAACCCACCCAACATCGAAGCAGCACCCACTGACCTCCCAATCAATGTTGGCTCACCGAAAATTGAAGAAATCAGCATGGCCATCAGACAAATCAAGAGTGGCAAAGCAGCAGGACCAGAGAACATTCCAGCAGAGGCACTAAAAGCAGACGTAGTGGCAACTGCAAGGATACTCCACACTCTCTTCAGTAAGATTTTGGATGAGGAACAAGTACCAAAAGACTGGAAAGAAGGACTCCTGATCAAAATACCGAAGAAAGGCGATCTCAGCAAGTGTGATAACTACGGGGGCATCACTCTTCTTTCAATACCGGGAAAAGTCTTCAACAGGGTATTGTTAAACAGGATGAAGGGCTCCGTAGACGCTCAGCTTCGAGACAAACAGGCAGGATTCCTTAGGGATAGATCGTGTACAGACCAAATCGCAACTCTACGAATCACTGTGGAACAATCAATTGAATGGAATTCATCACTCTACATCAACTTCATTGACTACGAAAAGGCATTTGATAGGGTGGACAGAACAACACCATGGAAACTTCTTCGACACTACGGCGTGCCTCAGAAGATAGTCAATATCATACAGAGTTCATATGAT